ATCATTAACTTTATATGGAAAGGGAAGAGGCTCCAGATGAGTAAAGCACTATTGAAGAAGAAGAATAAAGTAGGAGGACTCGCACTACCTGACCTCAGAACCTACTATACAGCCACTGTAATCAAAACAGCCTGTACTGGTACAACGACAGATACATTGACCAATGCAACAGAATCGAGAACCCAGATTGCAAATCCATCCCCACACCTGTGGTCACCAGATCTTTGACAAGGGCTCAAAGTCCATCATATGGGGAAAAGACAGTCTTTGTAACAAACGGTGTTGGCAAAACTGGATGTCCACCTGCAAAAAAATGAAACAGGACCCATACCTCACACCATACACAAAAACTAATTCAAAATGAACCAAAGACCTAAATATAAAGCAAAAAACTATAAAGATCATAGAAGAAAAAATAGGATCAACACTAGAGAACCTAATACACGGTATTGACAGGATACAAACTACAACCAACAACATACAGACTCCAGAAGATAAGCTAGATCACTGGGATCTTCTAAAAATTAAACATGTATGCTCACCAGAAGACTTCATCAAAAGATTAAAAAGAGAACCAACGGACTGGGAAAAAAAGTTTGGCTGTTCCAAATCAGACAAAGGCCTAAACTCTAAAATCTACAGGAAAATCCAACATCTCTACAACAAAAAGACAAATAATCCAATTAAAAAATGGGCAAAGGAAATGAACAGACACTTCACCAAAGAAGACATTCAAGCAGCTAACAGACACATGACGAAAAGCTTGCTATCACTAGACATTAGAGAAATGCAAATCAAAACCATAATGAGATACCATCTCACCCCGGCATTACTGGCACGAATCAAAAAAAAACAGAAAATAACAAATGTTGGAGAGGATGTGGGGAGACTGGAACTCTTATGCACTGCTGGTGGGAATGCAAAATGGTACAACCATTTTGGAAAACGATATGACGCTTCCTTAGAAAGCTAGAAATAGAAATACCATGTGATCCAGCAATCCCACTCCTAGCAATATTTCCTAGAGAAACAGGAGCCATCACACAAGTAAACATATGCACATGCATGTTCATTGCAGCATTATTCACAATAGCAAAAGATGGAAACAACCTAGATGCCCATCAACAGATAAATGGATACACAAACTATGGTACGTACACACAATTGAGTACTATGCACTGATAAAGAATAATGATGAATCTGAAAAGCATCTCACAACGTGAGTGAATCTTGAGGACATTATGCTGAGTGAAATAAGTCAACCACAAAAGAGAAATATTGTATGAGACCACTAATATAAAAACTCATGAATGGGTTTACACACAAAAAGAAACAATCATTGATGGTTAGGAGGGAGGGGAGGGGTGGGGGTGGACAAACATTAAATAAACAATAGACAAGTGGTAACTTTGGTGAAGGGTAAGGCAGTACACAATACTGGGGAAGCCAGGGCAACTTGTTCAGGGTAAGGTCATGGAAGCTCCATGGGCAAATCTAACTCCCCAAGGGACTGAATTACTGAGGTCTATGGGGACTATGGTCTCAGGGAACATCTAGTTTAATTGGCATAACATAGTTTATAAAGAAAATGTTCTACATTTTACTTTGGTGAGGAGCGTCTGAGGTCTTAAACGCCTGTGAGCAGCCATCCAGGATACTCCACTGGTCTCACGCCTTTAGGAGCAAGGGAAAATGGAGAAAACTAAAGATACAAGGGAAAGATTAGTCAAAAGGACTAATAAACCACAACTGCCATGACCTCCACCAGACTGAGTCCAGTAAAACTAAATGGTGCTTGGCTACCACCACCGATTACTCTGACAGGGATCACAATAGAGGGTCCCAGAAAGAGCTGGAGAAAAATGTAGAACAAAATTCTAACTCATAAAAACACCAGACTTAATGTCCTGACAGAGACTGGAGAAACCCTGAGAGTATGGCCCCCAAACACCTTTCTAGCACAATAACGAAGTCATTCCTGAGATTCACCTTTTAGCCAAAGATTAGGCCCATAGGACAAAATGAGAGTAAAGGGGCACACCAGTCCTGGGGCAAGGACTAGAAGGCAGGAGGTGCCAGGAAAGGTGGTAATAGGGAACCCAAAGTCAAGAAGGGAGAGTATTGACATGTTATGGGGTTGTTAACCAATGTCGTAAAACAACATGTGTACTGTTTAACGAGAAGCTAGTTTGTTCTGTAAACTTTCATCTAAAGTACAATTTAAAAAAGTGGCAAAGGATGTAAACAGGCACTTCACCAAAGAAGAAATTCAGGTGGCTACCAGATATATGAGGAAATGCTCAAGATCATTAACCATTAGAGAAATGCAAATCAAACTACAATGAGATACCATCTCACTCCAACAAGGCTAGCATTAATCCAAGAAACAAAATAATAAATGTTGGAGAGGTTGTGGAGTGACTGGAAAACTTATATACCGCTGGTGGGAACATAAAATGATACAGCCACTTTGGAAATCGATTTGGTGTTTCCTTAAAAAGCTAGAAATAGAAGTATCATATGATCCAGCAATGTACTCCTTGAAATATACCCTAGAGAAATAAGAGCTGTCACACGAATAGATATATGTACACCTATGTTCATTGCAGCACTGTTCACAATAGCAAAAAGATGGAAACAACCTAGGTGCCCATCAACAGACGAATGGATAAACAAAGTATGGTATATTCACACAATGAAATACTATGCAACAATAAAGAACAATGATGAATCCTCAAAACATCTCATAACATGGATGAATCTGGAAGGTACTATGCTGAATGAAATCAGTCAGTCACAAAAGGACAAATATTGTATGAGACCTCTATTATAAGAACTCAAGAAAAGGTTTAAACACAGAAGAAAGCATTCTTTGATGGTTACAAGGGTGGGGAGGAAGGGAGAGGGGTATTCACTAACTAAATAGTAGACAAGAATTATCTTAGGTGAAGGAAAGGAGAGCACACAATACAGGGGAAGTCAGCACAACTGGACTTAACCAAAAGCTAAGAAGTTTCCTGAATACAATCAAACTTTGAGGGACAGAGGAGCAGGGGCAGGGGTCTGGGGACCATGGTTTCAGGGGACATCTAGGTCAATTGGCATAACAAAGTTTATTAAGAAAATGTTCTGCATTCCACTTTGGTGAGTGGCGTCTGGGGTCTTAAAACCTAGCAAGCGGCCATCTAAGATGCATCAATTGGTGCCAACCCACCTGGAGGAAAGGAGAATGAAGAACACCAAAGACACAGGAAAGTAGTAGCCCAAGAGATCGAAACGGCCACATAAACCAGAGACTTAATCAGCCTGAGACCAGAGGAACTAGATGGTGCCTGAATACCACCAATGACTGCCCTGACAGGGAACACAGCAGAGAGTCCCTGACGGAACAGAAGAAAAGTGGGGTGCAGAACTCGAATTTAGTAAAAAGACCAGACTAAATGGTCTGCCTGAGACTGGAAGGACCCCGGAAGACATAGCCCCCCAACTCTCTGTTAGATCAAAACTAAAACCATTCCTGAAGCCAACTCTTTAGAGAAAGATTAGACTGGGCTATGAGACAAAAAATTATATTCACAGAGTGTGCTTCTTAGCTCAAGTAAATACATGAAACTAAAAGGGCAGCTCCTGTCTGGAGGCGAGATGAGAAGTCTGAAAGGGACAGGAGCTGGTTGAATGGACACAGAAAATCCGGGGTGGAAAGGAGGAGTGTGATGTCACATTATTGGGATCGTAACTAGGGTCACATAACAATGTGTGTATAAATTTTTGTATGAGAAACTAACTTGAATTTTAAACTTTCACTTAAAGAACTATTATAAAAAAGTAAGAAGAATCTATAATAAAATTTCCAAGCAACAACAACAACAAAATAATTGTTGGTTGGGGGAGCTCCTGCTTGTCTAGTTGTCTTTAGTGAGAGAACTGGTGTAAATTATCTAGACTTCCACTACTGAAAGCAGAAATCTCTCCTTTTTTTTCCCCCTATTTTTAAATAATATGTACTATAATTCGAAAGGAAAGGGACATACATTTTGGTAATATATTTTGATAGCAAATTTGAAAGAATTATTTAAGCATTTTCATACATTTCATTAGTCTCTTACCATATAGTCCTTTCCAGCTGTGCCTTTCTTAGTCTTGAATTTTTCCTTCCATTCTATATTTACTGTTTTTGCACAGTATTTTGTTAATTTATTCAGACAGGATACCTAGGTAGCATATTCTCTTAATCTTTGTATTCCTGAGAAAATATCACTCTTGCCTTCATTCATGGATAATAACCTGACTAAATATAGAAAATGTGTGCTTTAGAGATCTGGAAATTTAACTCCATTTGCTTTTAGCATTTAAACTTATAGAAGAGGAAGGCTAAGGTTAATTTGATTTTGGTTATAACCTGTTTTTTGTTTCTCCTATATGCTTTAGAAGTCTTTCTTTATCATTGATCTTTGGAAATTCCATGAAGTGAGGTAGGTTTCTCTTCTTGTTTGAAGATTTCACTGTCTTTATCTATAAATGTAATGTGTACTCTCGTATTTTTGGCAGAGGAACTGGGTTGCATTAGGAAAACTTTCTCTCTGCTATTTTTCTAAAGATTGCTTCATTTTTGTTGGTTCTATTATTTCTTCTTGGTATTCCAATGATACGTAGATTGAATCACCTGAATATTATGTCTCACGTTTATTCTCATTGCTATCATATCTTCATTTCAGTAGTTGCAAACCCAGTGCCTATAGGGTTTAAGCACGTAACAAAAATAAATGAAGCCAGTATGGTGTAACAATAGTGAGTAATGAGTATTGCAGCAAACTGGAGAGCAAATGTCGCATCTAAAGAAAGTGGCTACTAGTGTTCCACTCTAATGACCAGAATTCCATTTTGTCCCAGAAAAAAATCAAAATCTGTGTATGTGTGTGTGTGTTTTAATGTAATATTCCCCAGCAAGGGGAAAACAACAACAACAACAACAAAAACTGTAGAAGGATCTTACAACTTACCATTAGGATGACCTTGGTCACACACAGAATGGTCTGTTATTTCATCTTCTTTTGCATTGTCATCCTTTGTAGAATCTGACACAGCAAACAAGCAAAACCTTTAGTGAGCATTTTTTAACTGGGAAATGGATAGATTAGCTTCCAGCACTAACATGGTAGAGAAATCTATGCTTGGGGAGGTAGGTAGGATTTATTGTTTTTAAAAAATAACCATTAAAATACTTAAATATTTTCTTTTTTTCTCTACATAGATATTATATATACATATACATTATATATAAATATATTTTATTGTGCTTGAGGTGAAAGTTTACAGCTCAAGTTAATTCTCATTCAAAAATTTATACACGTGTTATTTTATGACATTGGTTGCAATCCCCACAACGTGACAGCATTCTCCCCCTTTCCACCCTGGGTTCCCTGTGTGTACTTGTTCAGTTCCTGTCCCTTCCTGCCTTCTTGTCCTGCTTTTGGACAGAAGCTGTCCATTTGATTGCATATATTTTATTGAACTAAGAAGCACATTCCTCACATGTATTATTCTTTGTTTTATAGGCCTGTCTAATCTTTGTCTGAAAAGTGGGCTTTGGGAATGGTTTCAGTTCTGGGTTAGCAGCATGTCCTAAAATGCTTAAATATTTTCGTCAATAAATAAGCTTTTCTTAAAATAGCACCACGTAAGGTGTCTGCACAAAGTTGGTAAAGAAAGTAGAGACGTAGTTTGCACATCTTTTTGGCAACAAAGAAGAACACGTAAGTAGGCTTTTTGCATCAGTGAAAGTCTTAGGAGAATTTTATGAATGGACATAAAAGGAAGGCAAAATAGAGAAGATTAAAGGAATATCTAATTTTATGTTCTTAATGCTTCCATTACTATAGTATTCACATATGGGAGCCTTGAGTCCTTGAAAAAGTTGGATAGAGATCCTTAAAATCCAGTAGTAGTTAAGTTCTTCTTCTTCAGGAACCTTACCAGTAGAATAACAGCAATGGAAGGATGCAAACCTTGCCTTCTGTGCAATTTATCCCATCCCTTATACAGCACATTTAAACACAGAAATCAGCATAATCTTATCTTTTCTGTTATATGATATACTTTACAGGAAATAACATGCTAAAAGGATTCTAATGACTATGGGTGCTTACAAAGCTCGAATGTTCTGAGACTCTTCAAAAATGTTTAAATGTTTCGGGGACTCTTTAAAAAGCCATTGGAAAAAACATGTGAGCAGGTCAGCAGAAAGACGTGAAATAGGTCTTTCATTCATTCAACACATATCTATTACGGGCCAATTTATATGCCAGACATGACATCAGGAGAGACTAATTGCTAGGAAAGGACATTATGTATGGTGAAGTGGAGGGTCACTGAAAATGAGGAAATCCTCAGTGAGATGGATTGACATAATAGCCACAACAATGAACTCAAAACCCACCAAGGATCATGAAGATGGCATAGGAGCAAGCGATGTTTTGTTGTATTATATGTAAGGCTGCATGAGTCATAGCTGACTCGATGGCAACAAACAACACATGCCAGACACTGTCCTAGACACTAGGGAGTCAAGAGTGAAGAAAAAGTAATACACATCTAATCTCTGCCTTCATGGAGTTTACAATCAGGTAGATAGTTTTCATGCAGCTAAAAGGTTGGTAATCCAAAGATGTCTACAGCTAATCTTGTATACACGCAGCCATGGAGAGAGCTGGGATGGTAGACTGATGCCTCTTTTACTTACAAATGGTTTCCCTACTCCGTTCGTTCCTCCCAGTTGAGTTCTAACTCCCTAACAGTTCACAATCAGATGGAGTCTAAAGTAAATCCATCTTCTTCTTCTTTTTTTTCCTTTCCCTTCCTCTCTTTCTCCCTTCTAAAACTGAAATATAGCTTTAAACAATATAGTCTAGAATAGTATGAGAAAATTTGTTTCTTGAAACTGCCACAAGCAACACTTGATGAACAAGTGATAAACCTGGGTAGTTAACACATGATTCAAATTTAATAACCAGTGAAGCAAGTATACACTCAAAGTGTGTGGTTTTAATTAACTGCAAACAATCCCCCAAGGCAAATGTTTAATTATCTGCACAGCTTCTTATTTCTTTCTGAGACTGACAATAAGTTTAAAAGTCCAAATTTGGAAGCAAAACTGAGCATGGACACATTTTCCAAAGTGTTATCTCACTCATGTCAAATTGTTTTAAATCAGCTTCCATTAAAATATGCCTTTTTAATTTTGTAGCCAACATGTGGATTAAAAAAAAATACTTTGAATACATTTTTGCACATTAACATTGAAAATGAGCAATGATTGAAAAAGGTACTATGTGGATTGGGCTGAATTCTAATTTTGAAAGTGTTTCAGTTTTACTTGTTTAGAGAAAATGCTATTATTCCATATGGAGTCATGTATAGCACTCATGTCTCTCAACATTAACTTTTTAAGATTATGAAAGATTTTATATGTAGGCTTGTGGTGCAATGCATTGATTTTATATAGCCTTTCTAGCCACAGTCTTGTAACTCCCACAAAATGATTGACCTGGTTACAACACTGCAAGGAATTAGTCAATCTACTATGCATATAGTCGCCTGAAAATCCACCCAATAGGATTGATCCCTTGCAGTCCAGCTAGGGAATTGTTCATTTTTGCCATCCTGCTAGGCCAATCCCACAGAGACTGGGGTGGGGGGAGCTTACTACCATCAAGAAGAGTCTGGAGTAGAGCTCCTCCCAGGGTTCCTGTGCTAAGAGCCTCCTAGACCCAGGAGAGTCAAAACAAAACAAAACAAAACGGAGAGATAGTGAGCTGGTCAGCCCAGGGAAAGTGACAACAGTGGTGGGTTGGTCTGCCTACGGAGAGAGAGACAGCTACAATGGGCTTGCTGCTCCAAGGAGAGAGAGATGGATGCCTCTGTGAAGGAGGTTTTGTTGTTGTTGTTAGGTGCCATCGAGTCATTTCCAACTCATAGTGACCCCATGCACAACAGAACAAAATACTGTCCAGTCCTGTGCCATCCTCACTATTGTTGCTGTGTTTGAGCCCATTGTTGCAGCCACTGTGTCAATCCATCTTGTTGAGGGTCTTCCTCTTTTTTGCTGACCCTCTCCTTTACCAAGCATGAGGTCCTTCTTCAGGGACTGGTCCCTCCTTATAACACGTCCAAAGTATGTGAGATGAAGTCTCACCATCCTCACTCCTAAGGAGCATTCTGGCTGTACTTCTTCCAAGACAGATTTGTTCGTTCTTCTGGCAGTCCATGGTATATTCAATATTCTTTGCCAACAACATAATTCAAAGGCATCAATTCTTCTTAGGTCTTCCTTATTCATGGTCCAGCTTTCGCATGCATATTAGGTGATTGAAAACACCGTGGCTTGGGTCAGGCGTACTTTGCCTTCTGCTAAAGAGCTGCACCACTTGCCTGTGCAGGGCAGAGGCCTGAGTGTGTCCAGTGGAACATACCCCCCTCCTCCAGTGCGGCAGGGCCACATAGCACTGCCTGGGTAGCATGGCGACAAGAGAGAGAACCATGCAGGCCTGGGGAGCATGGCGAGAGCTAGCAGTAGAGGCCTAGAAGGGCCCAGTGGCAGAGGCTTGGGAGATCCTGTGTAGAGGTCTTCCTGATGGCAAGGCAAGGCTCAGTAAGGCCCACTGGCAGAGCAGAAGCCTCTGGAGCTGTGCATGCCCCCCAGAGGCAGCGGTGATGTGAACGCAGCATATGACCTGAACCACAGCATGCCAGCCCAGCAACATAAGAATGGATATGGGTAATTTGGGGAAGGGTAAGCAGTTCCCCTTTGAGACGCTGTTGTTTACTGTTTGCTTTCTATAAATAATAATAATAATAATGGCTTTCACTTTGCCAATACTGTGTATGTATCTCCTGTGTCCTGCTTGATCAGAGATAAATGTAGCACCCATGGGATGGTTGATGCCAGCAGAGTGTACGTCTGTCATTCTTCTTTTTTTTTTTAAATTTTTTTTTTATTGTTGTAATTAAATGAAGTTTACATTTCAAGTTAGTCTCCCATACAGATTTTTTTTTTTTACGTACACTGTTATGAGACCCCAACCGCTCACTCCATTCTGTGACAGCACACTCCTCCCCTCCGCCCCTGATTCCCCACGAACGTTCAACCAGCTCCTAACTCTCTCTGCCTTCCCATCTCACCTCTGGACAGAAGCCGCCCCTTTGGTCTCTTGTATCTACTTGACTAAGAGTCACATTCTTCACAAGTATCACTTCATGTCCCACAGTCCAGTCTAATCCCTGTCTGAAGAGTTGGCCTCGGAAATTGTTTTAGTTCTGGGGTGATAGAAAGACCAGGGGCCATGCTTGGCAGTCTCAAGGATGTCTGAAAATTTGAGGCACAGCCTGTCTGCACGTGCAGTACATGGTAATACACAGCTGAATTTTTTTCATCTATGCCGAACGATAATTGATTATGCTTTTAACTAATGTAAATATTATATTTCATAGACCAAACATTACATAAGAAATGCCTCTTAAAAAGTGATTGACTCTGTGTTTACACACTTTGATCTAATGATTCACATAAGATGGGTGAAAAGCATTTGAAAAATTAATCACTGGATTGTGCCTGTTTTGTCACCAAAATATGTTTCTTTAGCAAATTAATTGACCCTTTAGTTTCAATTTCCTTGGGGGAATAGCTTTCACATTGCTAAGGTGCCTTTTGATCTTGTCTGCTCTAATCTAGATAATACATTTTGTTGAATCCAAGACACTATCCATTGTGCTTTACATTATTATTTTATGCAGCATTAAGAAAAAAATGCTGCCAAATGAACTATCAATTCTATGGTACGTCCTGATTTTCAAAATAAAATACTTGAAAAAATATGCATCTTAGGATTGATGAAATACGATGGTTGAGTATGCTCTATGTGTGTATACAAACAAATACACATATCTTTACGTGATGACAGAATTTCACATCAACATGACCCATCAATAACTTTCTTGTATAGCCAAGCCCACGAATTCATTTTGTCTTATGTGTGAACCTCTTCTCCAGAAATGGTTCCACTTCCACATATATCAAATA